TAATTGCCAGATCAAACTGGCAATTATAAAAAAAAAGTATCATGTCCGTTCAGCGCTTTCGTAATAATCAAGGTCTTAATCTTGGGGAAGGCTACTGAGGGATGGAATCTGTCGAGTGTGTATAATTTGCGGATTGGAATAAAATTCTGCGGACTGGCTATTCCCGGCAAAGAAATCGTTGTGTTTATTGTATATATGGATTCAGCTCATCGAAATACACGATAAAAAGTTTCTGATTTTTTCACTGCCCCCCCCCCTGGGAGCACTTTACTCGTGTGTTTTTTCAAAAAATCTTGCGGATTGGGTATTTTTGCAAGTCAAATCATCCCAATGTCCTCAAACATCGATTTATCTCATGAAAATACACGGCGATGGTGATATCACTTTTTATTGAAAGGAGTTTCGAAATCTCTCGATATCGCCTACCTTGGAAAATTAGCGAGACGTGGGAGAGTCTTGCTAAATTTCCGATTTTCAAACCAAATTTACAAGCATCATGACACATTGATTTGAGTTCACATTTCCATTTTCACAGTTTTTTGTCTAAATGGAAACGGTGCGTTATATTTTCGACTTCCACTGGTTAATTCATGAACGACACGAAGTCCTTACTCAAGAAAATGCTGTGATACTAGTTTATTTACTCACTTTTGGTACATAAAATAAAACGCATTTTGAAATTTTCCAAGAAATTCTCCATTGTTGATGCCATCTATCATCGAATATAAGAACCCCACGTTCCGAACTCGCATTCAATTGTTCATATCGAGAGTTAGTCTGACGAAACAATTGAAGAATCGTTCTTCAGAGGTGAAAAGATATTCACAATGAAAAATCAACTATACCGGTCGTGCGTGAAATGTTGCATGTATTTCGGGCGTAACTTGCTTGGACGTTGGCGTATCAATAGGCCTCGCTCCGGTCCGTAAAAGTCTATTTTACGCCCTTGATACATAGATAACTATCATCTAACGCTCTGACTGCCATGTCAGTCGATTTCGCCTGACAAAAGAATTTTTGAGGCCGCAGCCATTTTTATCTATATATAATATAATTTTTTTTTAGGGTACTCACGTCAGGTTCATATTCATTCGTGTTTCCAAAAACGACTGACATGGCGTGGCACTACACATTATTTTTCAGTTATCATTTCTTGATAATGAAGGAAAGTATGGCATTGACATTGACAAGTCTAACGAAATGGCTTCATACAGTACTTGTAATCGAAGAGGCATCAAGTGGTACCGAAAGTTTTTTTTTAATTGCTGAAAGGCACGTCTATGGTAAATGCATTCAATATATATAAAGAACACACTCATTCAAAATCGGATATGAATAAATTCAGGAAAGACGTAGCCAGGAGTTTATCATTGGAAATGATGCCAATAGAAGAAGTCTAATGATACCCAAAGTAGCACTATTAAGAATCATAGTTCATGAGTTGCTTATTTTTCAACAATTTAGGAGATTTCAAATAAAAAGTTTTACATAAATCCCAATTATTATATGTTTGCTAAATGGACGTCAGGCGCCGCGAAATTTTGTAGGTTTTTAAAATTCAGCGCTGCGATTCCAATGAGCATACAAAATTCTATATGAAGTCGGTCCAAGAAGCCTGACACGACCGTGAATGATAGTGGTGTCAGTCATGATGAACGACTGACGACACAAAATTATGCATAACAGTCTGTCAGTCATATACGACTGACAAAACGAAATGAAATAACAAAAAATTAGTATGTTCAGTAACGAGAGTAGGTATTGATTAGTCTGTCATATATTGCTGAGTTCCGTCGAACAAGCAAAGAACTAAGGCCAAATTTAGCTTCAACATTTTACATGTCGGTAGATCATCTTGTTAGTGTAAGTTATCAAGGATAACACCCTGTATATTTACACGAAATAAGTACGAATTTCTGCATTCGATATTTTGTACGTGAGCCCACTGCCTATGCCCTCTTGATCCTGATGCATGCCGGATAATCACATTAGATGTGTCATGTGCTCCGCCGCGTCGAGGCGATTATCAATTCGATGGGGGTGGCCAGGGGGTGGGGGGTGCTTTAGCCTTGCCATGCCTTGCTTTAGGCCTGGATGGCGCCTCGTAGGAACGCGTATCTCGCTCGTTGGAGAAAAAAAAAACGGTTCGGTTGATAAGGAAATATGTCGACTTTGTATAATACTACTTGTTGGTCTTTGTTCTCGGAATCTGTCGCTCGGATTCGTAGGTAATTTGTAGACGGTCGTTAAAACTTGACGTTCTTGGTTCGATAGATTAGAGTGTTTAGGGTCTGTCCAGGTTGCTTATCAATACGCGACAAGACTGGTATTCTTGGAGATTTCTGATTTATCCACTTCGTCACTATTATGCTACGAAACCTAGAAAGAATATTTTGTAATTTCACTTCAATATGATGGATTCTTTGATGTTCAAAGCCTAAGAAAACTATAAAGCCAATATATGGGATTCCATGGTGTCTCACTTCAATGAAATGTATACACCGGATTGGATATTTTTTTTTATCGCTTGGAGTGCACGAAAGGGAATCCCTATAATGTTCAAAGAACATCTTGCGTTCCTAGGGAGGATAGGGACAGGAGGTAGGTATTGGATTTTTTCTAGAACTTTTGGAGATTATATGTTGTTGGGAATACTTCCACAGGCAATGAATTCCAGAGCCTAGCCGTTCTATGGATGAAGGAGTCTTGATATTGTGAGATTTGAAGCAATATTGATTTGTATCAATCCCTTGGGATATGCAAGATTTCCATGAATTCTTCAGATTTCAAGGGATTTTCTAAGGATTTGTTGGATCCATTAAAGATTGGGAGATCCTTATTATAGTATATTCATCAAGATTCCTGGGATTTCCCAAAAATCAGCGAGATTTTCAAGATTTGTCAAGGATTTTCAAGATTTCTCGGATTGCTAAGGATTTCTCAAGGATTTGCGAAATCTATCAAAGATTCGGAGATTTCTGGTGATTATCAATATTCTTGAGACTGTCGAAAGATTTGTATGGTCAAAATTGCACGGATTTTTTCAACATTTGCTAGAATTTTCAAGATTTTTTCTGGTTAAATAGGTTGACAATTATTATAATGTTCTTTTAAGAATAAAATATACCTACTGTTATGAGAAACAAGAGTTTTAGAAAAGAGAAATGCTAATAACATTCAGAAAGTGTACAGGGTGTTTCCTATCCTCTCTGACAAAATGAAAGGAGCGAATCCTCTCTTAATTTCATGTAGAATAGTATTTTTTTCGAATGTCGCTTAGTTTTTGATATACAAGGTGTTTGAATTATGTTTCTGGATCTGTTTTTTATATATAGGGGCCCCTTCAGCATTTAGCCATCAATAGAAAATAATTATATCAAGTCCATTGGCCTCCGAAGGGGCATTATATGTATGCCACTGACTACAACTGGTCCAAGTTAGATTTAAAAAAATTGAATTTCGTGACATTTTCATTCTAATAAGCAATCGCTCTATCTATACCGGTTATCTATGTAGTGTGGAAAGCTCTATAGATATCATCAAAGATATTTCGATACATATATATCGATAAATATCAATACCAAATTATACTCCGATATCGATATAAAATGTTCAATATCGCACAGCCCTAATAGGTACTAGATCAGTTATGACGTTATGTTATCATGAGAACAAGTTGTTTTTGTTTTGTTTATTATGGAAATGAGGTGAGCAAACAGCAGCGGGCTCGATAACGGACCTTTCCTTATATTAGGTGACGAGAAATAACCTGGAGGATGTAGGATTGTGAGATTTTCGCTTGGGATTGAGAGATTTTTGCTTGGGATAAAGAGATTGTTACGATATTTTTGGGATTGGAAGTCGAAGAAAGATTGAGATATTCGATGAGATAAATCTCAAGAATCGAGCTGTGATTTCAAAAGATTGACACATTATTTTCGCGGATTGTCAGATTCGAAGGGGGATTTAGGGATTGGAAGAAATATTTGTGGATTTCCAAGACTGAAGCAGGAATTGGTGAGATTTCCAAGATTCGAAGCGGATTGGAAGGAAAGTCTATAGCAGAGAGTGAGACACCCCTCGGATTCCATATAACCACTAGTTGGAATTTGCAAGATGAAAGATCGCCATAGTGAAAGTGTGTGACATTCATATTAATTGTCAACAATCCCTTAGTCAGTTTTATACGGACCTATACTCATCTTGTAGAAACTTATCTCATGGATCGCACGAAAAGGAATCCCAATTATGTTCGTGGAACATCGCGCGTACCTTGGAGGATAGGGACAGACGGTAGTTATTGGACTTCAAATTCAATGTAGGATTTCATCATTTTTTTTTCTCGAATACCTCTACTAAAAAACAATTGCCTGCATAGGACACGTGATAGGAAGAAAATGAGGAATAAAAATGCAATACTCTCAGAACTCTGGTTTCATATCTCAGTCTCAAAACTGTCGTCAAAATTGACTGACTTCATTGAAAATAGTTATTTGTTCAACTAGGCAGCAAAGTAGTATAGGTTGACTGCAGCATAGATCCGTGGAATCCAGCCAAGGCAGTCAATCTACTTTGCTGCCGAGTTGAACATAGAATTTTGAATTCTGAGAATTGGATGCGCATAGTAGACCAGTCGGCTGAGTAGGTGAGCTAATTATTGTCGTGGAACTGGTTCAATGAACATCGGTAAGAACAGTACAGTACGATTGTACTTCCCAATAGGAAGGCGTAATGGATCTTCTTCGCACACTATCTATCTCTGTTTATCGTTTGCGCATCTCAGGGGCCAAGCTAGAATAATGGTCAAGCTGTACTTTCATATAGCTCACCACCGGCCACTTTGGCGCTGCGAACTCAAATTTAGTCCCCTATAGACGTGACTTGATAATCTTTGCTTTGTGGACTATTATTTGAGTTACTAAAGAACCTATGATTGTAATATTTTGAATGAAAATCGATGATTGAAGATTCAAAATTGACTTTCTTGTTTTTTTTTTCAGTTTCTCCGTCTGCGTTGGTGTAGTCGAACAGCTGACACGTTGTTGCCTATCTGTCAGAGGTCCCGTACACGATATTCCGCCTGCATGCTCGTTCTTATTAGCTGCGCTCGAATTCCTGTCTGCATTGGCAGACCATTGTCCAGAAGATTCTGACCCCACTCATTTGGTGAGTAACTCGAAAATTTGGAAAAAAGAAGAGACTGAAATTTAATGAAAATATTGTTGATTATCAATTCACTATTTATAAAATGAATAATGCCTATGTGGCTCAAGAAGAAACTCTTAAATGATTTTGTTGAAAATCATTACATGTTGCCTCAAATTCGCGACATCGTTGAGAAGGGAGTGTTAGAGAATTCGCATACCTCTACTGGCTCTACCTCTTGTAGAAGTGCATAATGGAACACCAAAATCAAACAAACAACAAACCAACAACTAACTCGAAATGGGGAAGACCACTGATTTTTTAAAACTACTTCAACGTGAGCTCTTTAGCAAAAAACCATCAGTAAATCTAATTTTGAATATTTGAATACATACTAGGCCGATACAAGAATGAATTGATTCAAAACACATACTTCCTGCGCCATTTGAAATAGTGTCAATTCTTTGGAATGACTGGTGTGATGTTTTAGTCCCAATACGTCAATTGTCTTTGAACTGACCAATTACACTGCAACACTGCAGAATGGCCAGGTATAGCCACAGTTCGGGACTGATATGTCACGGCTCCACCTTCACATCTGGCTTTTTGAACTATCGAATAGAATATTGTGATTTGAAAACGCTATAGATTCTTTTATGATTGGAACACGCCAACATTGGGAAGGATAAAACATTCGCATCATTCGACCTCACGAGAAGTTAGGGCAGGAAGAAAATCTTACAGTCAACTCCACCAAAACTATACTTTATTCAACTTGGAAATTGGGACATATTCCAAAGCTTCAAAGCTTCATCATCAGCAGAATTGATACAGGAAGTACTACAATAAGACAAAAAACCACGTCAGGCAAAGTATTCAAATAATGAAAGTTTTCCAAAAACTTTCCTCTATGATTTTTATACTAATTTTTTGACGAAGGTGCGGACCCTGTTTTGCTGAATTCTTCAATGTTTTCAATTTGTAATAATATGTAAACCGTAATTCTTCCCAGAACAGGTGAGGATTCTTTTACTTTCATTATCTGAATACTTTGCCTGACGTGGTTTTTTGTCTTATTGTAGTACTTCCTGTAACAATTCTGCTGATGATGAAGCTTTGAAGCTCTGAAACATGTCCCAATTTCCAAGTTGAATATAGTATAGTTTTGGTGGAGTTGACTGTAAGATTTTCTTCCTGCCCTATTATCTTCACTCCACTGCAAGATAGATCGACTCAGATGGTTTCACGAGAGGTTCTTCAGCCCATGATTGTGCATGTTCCGTGTAGGCATTGTTACTGACTCCATGCGCCACCTCATGAACAGCACTGTTGATTGGAACGTAACAGTGAATCGTGCGGAAAGCCTAATATTTTCCAATATTTCCTTTTCAGGTGAGTACCCTCCACGGTACCGAACTCCTCGGGTGCGTCTCCATGCTGTACGGTTCCCTGCTGCCTCCCGATTCAACTCCACGGGTCGAAGGCCAATCGCCGCCCGGCATCCCCGTGCCTTGTTCCAAACTGGCGACCGTCACCTTCAAGCTGCTGAGGAGGGTCGCCGAATTGGATCTGGACAGGTTCCAGGTGAGTTTTGCCTCAGACCAAATAGCAATAGCCCACTAAACATGAGAGAGAATAATCTTCATTGTCTAAAATGTATTACATTTCTTCGACAAAGGCATAAAATACACTCACCGGCAAAATAAACCGGCCACCAAGAAATATGCCCAAATTGTTCAGCCTGTAACTTTTTTAATCCTTGTCCAATTTTTGTGAAATCTCGATCGAATCGTAGATTGATGTTCCGAAATGTTAGCCTGAATATTGATTTTCCTGGAAAAACTGATGACCTGATCATTATACAGAGAAAAACCAAAGTTATTCTTTCACCCTATACTTATCAACGCCCTGTGGCAAAATTGCGTGATTGAACATGGCTTCATTATGCTTCGGATTGGAGTGTGATCACTTCTTAACACAAACGTTCTTAATTCAAGTCAATATCTTATTCTTGAAAGAAGATACGAGTGTTTTAAGGAAGTATGATGTTTTTCAACTTTTTTTACCAAAAATCAGAACTCACATGAACTTATTGATCAACAACTTCAAGGATCATTATCACATATTTCTACCTTACTTTCTTAGCACTTACCGGAAAATCAATTACAAAAAACAAACAAGAAGCAGACCTGTAGTCAATAACGAGTATGCTCTCCTCGATATTGAATCACAGCATTCAACCGAAGTGGCATCGAATTCATCGACTTACTCAATTAGCCTTGAAGAATTGCCTGAAATCCTCCTTGAAGGGCGAATCGTAGCTCTTGAAGGGTATCTGACAAGGCTGGGGGAAGGCGAATGAGCCTCTAGAGGTCACCCCTGAGATAGGTAGATAGGTTCTGAATTATTGTTATTGAAGATTGAAAAAATCTATACTTTCTTGAAACACTTGTATCTTCTCTCAAAAAAGAGATATTGACATGGACGTATAAACAAAGAAGGACCCATTTATTTACATCGTAATGTGAAGTCAGAGAATACGGTCACGGTATATCACCTGATGTTGAATTGGAGGTTGTCACGTCCTGTCGCTAATAATTCCTAACCTCAGTCTAATCCTCTCACTATCTATCTATCTATCTATCTATCTATCTATCTATCTATCTATCTATCTATCTATCTATCTATCTATCTATCTATTATCTATCTATCTATCTAATCTATCTATCTATCTATCTATCTATATCTATCACTATCTATCTATCTATCTATCTATCTATCTATCTATCTATCTATCTATCTATCTATCTATCAATCTATCTATCTATCTATCTATCTATCTATCTATCTCTATCTATCATCTATCTATCTATCTATCTTATCTATCTATCTATCTATCTATCTATCAATCTATCTATCTATCTATCTATCTATCTATCAATCTATCTATCTACTATCTATCTATCTATCTATCATCTATCTATCTATCTATCTTCTATCGATCTATCTATCTATCTATCTATCTATCTATCCTCTTCTATCTATCTCTATCTATCTATCTATCTATCATACTATATCTATCTATCTATCTATCTATCTATCTACTATCTATCTATCTATCTTCTATCTATCTATCTATCTATCTATCTATCTATCTATCTATCTATCTATCTATCTATCTATCTATCTATCTATCTAACTCTATCTATCTATCTATCTATCTATCTATCTATCTATCTATCTATCTATCTATCTATCTATCTATCTATCTATCTATCTACTATCTATCTATCTATCTATCTATCTATCTATCTATCTATCTATCTATCTATCTATCTATCTATCTATCTATCTATCTATATCTATCTATCTATCTATCTATCTATCTATCTATTCTATCTATCTATCTATCTATCTATCTATCTATCTATCTATCTATCTATCTATCTATCTATCTATCTATCTATCTATCTATCTATCTATCTATCTATCTATCAATCTATCTATCTACTATCTATCTATCTATCTATCTATCTATCATCTATCTATCTATCTATCTATCTATCTATCTAATCTATCTATCTATCTATCTATCTATCTATCTATCTATCTATCTATCTATCTATCTATCTATCTATCTATCTATCTATCTATCTATCTATCTATCTATCTATCTATCTATCTATCTATCTATCTATCTATCTATCTATCTATCTATCTATCTATCTATCTATCTATCTATCTATCTATCTATCTATCTATCTATCTATCTATCTATCTATCTATCTATCTATCTATCTATCTATCTATCTATCTATCTATCTATCTATCTATCTATCTATCTATCTATCTATCTATCTATCTATCTATCTATCTATCTATCTATCTATCTATCTATCTATCTATCTATCTATCTATCTATCTATCTATCTATCTATCTATCTATCTATCTATCTATCTATCTATCTATCTATCTATCTATCTATCTATCTATCTATCTATCTATCTATCTATCTATCTATCTATCTATCTATCTATCTATCTATCTATCTATCTATCTATCTATCTATCTATCTATCTATCTATCTATCTATCTATCTATCTATCTATCTATCTATCTATCTATCTATCTATCTATCTATCTATCTATCTATCTATCTATCTATCTATCTATCTATCTATCTATCTATCTATCTATCTATCTATCTATCTATCTATCTATCTATCTATCTATCTATCTATCTATCTATCTATCTATCTATCTATCTATCTATCTATCTATCTATCTATCTATCTATCTATCTATCTATCTATCTATCTATCTATCTATCTATCTATCTATCTATCTATCTATCTATCTATCTATCTATCTATCTATCTATCTATCTATCTATCTATCTATCTATCTATCTATCTATCTATCTATCTATCTATCTATCTATCTATCTATCTATCTATCTATCTATCTATCTATCTATCTATCTATCTATCTATCTTTTTTTTTTTTTTTTTTTTTTGAGAAGGAGAAATCGTTTACGACACCAGGTACTTGCTCTGCCTTTCCCTGGCGAATGGGGACTCCCGGGTGGAGTTGTGCAGACCCGGACTACCCCAATAAAACTCCTTCTATTCACGTCCACTCAGTTATTCTGGAACTAACTATTAGTCATAACATCAGAATAACTGAAGGTCCCTCAGCCGCCGTTCTCCATTATCCTTGTCGAAATGCTCTTTCATCTTCTTCCTTCTTTTTCATGATCTGCTTGATATGGCTGTGTATTTTCTTCCAATTCCTTTCACTTTCAATCATACTATTTATCACATTGTCGATTCTTATGTCTTGTCCAAAATCAGTTCTGAATTGATGCCTGTCCCTCTCCCATCTATTGCATGCGAATACCGTATGAGCCGGGGTATCAGTTTCTCCGCAATAAATGCACAGCTCATCCGTTACTTTTCCGATTCGGAAGGTATATACCCGGAAAGATCCATGGCCAGTGAGAAATTGTGTGAGGTGATAA